ACCTTGACTTGGTGACCAAAAGTTGAGAAAGATTGATCTAAAGCAAGTTTCAATTTGCATATAACTTTAAAAAAGTTCAATCCCAGCTTATAGCAAAATGACAATCACCCATCCGTCAAATGTTTCACCAGAAACTGCCACGAGAGAAACGACCTGGGCAGCAACTACATGAAGTAACACACGACCTATTCTAGATTTCTATTACACACTTTACTACTATTATAACCTTAGTCCACCCTACAAATTTAACCCACTTTGGAACCTTCCAATGTTTCTCCAGCACTACTATACACTTAGGATGATGGTTTTGCATTATATGAGGCAGCCATCTAAAGGAAACACCGAATAGGGGCGAGCAACCTACACAAATATACAGGCAAATGCCACGTCCCACAACAAGGTTTCCCGTTTACTAATGCATTGATATTACTATATTATTATGGCACCATTGCATCCTCTGTTGCTGCAATCATCTGTACATCTGTTTCCTCTGCTGTTCCTTTCCTCGTTTGGCTCCCCTTGGAATCACCTAAACAATGCATTATGTTAGATCATGAAACACCAAGGCATTTACCAAAACAAATGCTCCAGAAACATGTGTCTAACCAAATATGGAATCAATTGATGGCCGACTGGGTGATGCACTTCTACTATCTGCAATGATCGAAGCAATTCAGAATTATTAGAGTACTGTGGAAAAGCATGTTTTTTAAGTATAGATTGCATACCATTTTAGGTTAATGCGTATACAAAAACTTCATAAAAATCCTTCTCACTACTCAGATTATGATATTTCAATGATTTTGTATTGCGATGCAGGTTTTAATTTTCTTCCTCATACTCATCATATTAGAATGCCAAAAAGGTTGGTTGTGCCATAAAAATATCGAATCATACAGTTTCAGCCAGAGCATGGTTCTGCATAGCTTTTCAGTAAAGTCAGGAAACAATTGCAGAGCAGTGTCCCCTACAAGGATGAATCAATTTGTTTGTAAAGGTTCATGGATGATATTCATATCACCCTCGGATCAAAGGTTTAGAGAAGTTGCACTGCACTGAAGATTACAGGTTCACTGTGCAATTTAGGCCTCCATGGAGTAGAGAGTGCAATGAGCCAAACATTGCTTACATTGATGAAGCTCAAAAAAAATGAAAGACATGACCATTAAAGTATATTTCACCATCCTACCAAATGTTCAGAAGAGAAACAAATGATGTCCTAGCAGGAGAACATCGTTTTCTTTTATTTGAAATGGGCACTAGGTCAAACTATCATGTCTCCATTGCAAGACAAAGTCGACAAATGTTACAAAAATGCACATAAAATCATGCAAGTGTGCATGTTTATATAGAGGAGAGAGCTACAGTACGTAGACTAGTGGATAATTGAGAGAACAAATAATCCTCACCCGATGAGTTAAGCAGTGCCTTGACAGCATCAAAGTTCTTGTATGTATAGCCCACAAAACTTAAATCCTTGGGATTTAGGTGTACCTGTGTAGGGTACTATTAAGGTCAATGTTAAATGCCTTAATAACCATCAAAAGAACACAAAAAGAACTAAACCACTAGAGTAATTGAAGTGGACACATAACATTGACAATCAGTAGATTGACACCACAAAAGTAAACTTAGACGAGCATTTTGTATTTAAGAAAGTTGAAAGATTTTTTGAAACCATGTTTTTTTTGCTATTTCAACAACATTTTCTTAATCGCGATATTTTAATCCATAGAAGTTTTGGTATTATGTAGAAAACCAAGGATATTTCAATCTCATTTGAACACAGGGGAGAGAGAGAGAACCAAGGATATTTCAATCTCATTTGAACAC